ACAGATAAAGGACGCTACTATGCAAGCGAGACGTTGTAAGTAAAACCAAAGGGTCGTGTGTAATATTTTGTTTTTATTTTATTTCTCTGTAACGTTTGATGTTTCATAAGGGATTTAAGGCCTTAATAAAAAAAAAGATGCAGTAATAAATCATAAGTTGTTGCAGTCTAGCTTGGCTTTTATGGGGTCGTGAGAGTTGCGAATTGAACGCCATTGTCCACCACAACGGAACGGTTCGTTGATGGGGCTCCATAATTGCCTCCATTTTGTGATTAATGGACGCGTGAGTTTGATACATTCGCAGAATTTCCTCAACAACCAACCCTTTAGTTAATGGAACAAACGCTGTCATCAAGTGGTCGTTGAATAAACAGACTGCGATCGAGATATTTGATTCCGGCATCTGATATCGAGAGTGTAGCGAGACTAGCACGCTTCGGGGTGGAGCTTTGTTATCTCTGTATAGTATTCATGTTTACTGTTATTCACCGGACATTCGCCAGCGGTTAGCAGCTCAGCAAGCATCGGTTACACTACCCCGCCGTGTCTGTGTCAGAAGTAAGCACTATTGAGACGGTATATTACTTACCATAGCTGCGCAATTTCCGAGAATCAAATAAATACTTTCTTCCTCTAGAAACGAAGGTCTTGTTAACAACATACACGTTAATATGGTTATTTCGGGAACATGGCGATAAGTGAATTTATGGGTGCAATGATTGTAAATATAGGGTTTAATAGCCAATGTCAGTATGAAGCGTGTTTTGAAGCCGATTTATCACAGGGTAAAGAATTTGTGATGACACTTGCGTGTTAACGGCCATGCGATTTGTTCTGAGTGTTAAATGTTTTTTTCCTGAACTGATAACGCGAGCCATTAAGATAAAGACGCACGATATCACAATAAATCTAAAACTGATATTTGGTGTTAAAATGACAGGTTTGATTTGGATTTCTAAATATTAATTGTCAGTGCAAGGGAATAACCTAGTTGATCCACCGAAACAGATTCCATTTTGCGTAGAGGGTAGAAAATTATATAAATGGACCACTGTAAATCAGTGATGACTCCAGGTGTTCGCGAAAAGGGTAAGCATGTCCTGTCCTGCCCTGTACCGGTAGCACCCGCCATTCACACAATTTGCATTTTACGCCTAGCGCAATGTAGCAAGTGTCAAATTTTATTAAACACTAAGTTAATTGCCAAGAGGGTGTACTAATTGTGTATTTTGTGTTATGGATGGGGGTTTTCCTGTGCGTAGTTCGACATTTCCGAATCAAGATGGTACTGAAATGTATCCCAATCGTTTTAGAAAGCTGAGATCAGATTGGGTCAAGAACTCACTCACAGTCCCATTTAGATTGGGCGGCATAAGTTCGATCAGGGTTCACCTCAGATGAGGTGTCATCAGATCTTGACGCAGATTGGTATCGTATTTATGGTATACATGTGAAGGATGTGGATGCACTGTCCCTATTTTGACATGCACCGTGTTTCCTAGTTTGTTCAGGAGAAGACTTGACTTGCCTTTGCACTTTTGCCACGTGAGGTGAGATGAAATAGGGTTTGACGTCGCATCCAAAATCATTGCGTTTATAGCAATTGTTTGATTGTTTGTTGTTTAACGCCGCACTCAGCAATATTCCAGCTATAATAAAATGATTATGCCGTCGGTCTGTAAGTAATCTAGTCTGGACCAGACAAGCCAGTGATTGACAACATGAGCATCGATCCACGAGGCTGACCACCCGATCCTGTTAGTCGCCTCTTACAGCAAGCATGGGTTTTGAAGACCTATTCTACCCCGGATCTTATAGCAACTGACATCCACGCGTGTGGCTGCTTTTGCTATCACGGACTAATTCTAATTAATAGTGCTAGCACACTGAGATACGATGCCGCAGTTTAACACGAATACCCTACTCAGACACAGTATACTGACTCCGACCCGACCAGTCCTGACGTTTTAGCCCCTTAGCGGCCGAGGATCGAACACGGGACCTTCGGCTCTACCAATGGACTACGGAGGCATACTTTTTTTTTTATAAGTGAATGACATTGTGTGGTTGTCCTTTTGGAAATTATGAAGTATCATAATAAATATTATGAATTTGTGCTTTCGTAAAACGCACTGAACACAGATGATCTTTTTCCTTCAATTAAATTTGATTTTGCACCTCAGTTCATTTGGTATCAGTTCCGGCAACCGACCGGTATCATTTATCGAATCCTATTCTGGGCATGACAGTGTTACCGCAATTCCAGTCTGTTGTCAGGATGCAAATGGGGCGCATGTCGCTTGCGCAACACACCGGGACAAATCACCACGCTGGCTCTGTTTGCATACCAGCTCGCTAGACAGTCTCGCCTCGTATTCCGACAAATGACAATATCTTGTAGTGTTTGTCAGTTAATAATATGTAAATATCCCTTTGAGCCCATAGCTGGAAAGTAAATACGTATTGTGTTAACTTCTCAGTTTAGAATCTAAGTTCGAGGGGGAAAGTCAACAAGGTTATCGAAATCGATAAGTGGCAAATATTGATAAAGATTAAAAGATGGATTCGGTGTGGGAGTTTCAAAAAATAGTTTATGAGTCAATTTCTTTTAAAGGTGTGATAACAGAATGAAACTTCATTTCCTGTGAATCTTCAATGCATTATCAAGCAAGACACAAAGACGACGTTAACTGAAACGAAGATAACTTGTAATGTTATACTTGGAGCGAAATGAAAACGGAATTTGTCAGAACCAGGCTTCCGCATACAGACATATATATTATTAGTCCCTAGTTTATACATCATGCATGGCAAAAGTAATAAAAAGACTGCTTTTGAAGACGTTAAGGGACTTTTAAATCATATTTTTCTGCATAATATACATGTATTCACCCAAGACAAATGTAGTAGTAGGTAATTATGTATATATCATCAAGTGTATTTTAATGTCAGCTCTTATTTTAATACCTAAACTTCTGAGACCTGCAACACTTCGGGCTTTCCTCCCACATTAAGCTGAAATGCAGCGATATAACTGGAATACTGTTAAAAGCAGCGTTAAACCCAACACACTCACATACAGTCTGTAGTCCTTGCTCAACCACCCAATCTAACCTGCTTCTCTATTACATCAGAAGTCTCCCTTGCGCTTGGCTTCTCTATTGTTTCTCTGGTCCCTATTGTCCAGCCCCAGCCCCTTACTTTCAGTGACAGGGTGCTTTATGGGACTGGTCAGTTTGAATTTACACTTGTTGGTTGGTTTGTTGTTTAACACCGCACTAAGCAATATTCCAACTATATGAGGGTGGTCTGATGTGATGTATATTTATCACACCTAACAATAGGTCTTCAGCAGCCCATGCTTGATGTAAAAGACGACTATGCTTGTCCTAAGAGGCGACTAACGGATCGGGTGGTCAGGCTCGCTGACTTGGTTGATACATGTCATCGATCCCAATTGCGTGGATCGATGCTCATGATATTAATCACTGGATTGTCTGATCCAGACTCGATTATTTACAGACCGCTGTCATATAGCTGGGATATAGTCATCTCTTGTTCTACCTGACTAAGCTACCATGCCTTTGTCAGAACACTGACCCTCTATGCGATCTTGTGGTAGAGCATCCGCCCGGAGAGCAGAAGGTCCGGGGAGTTCGATCCCCAGCCGCATCATACCAAAAGACGTTAAGAGATGGTACTTATAGTTACCCTGTCTGGCGCTCGGCCTTGAAGGGGCTAGAACAAGGACTGGTCGGCTCGGAGTCAGCATACTGTGTCTGAGTGGGGAGAGACAGACACACACACACACACACACACAGACACACACACACACAGCTATATAAGTGCATTAATCTTGGACGACATTAAACCCAATTTCACCTTGTCAGAACATGATAATTAACAAACAATCCATAAATAGCAGGAATACTGCTAAATGTAACATTCAGGTTAACAGTAGAAGGCAACAAGGAAATGTTAACACCCTTCTCATTTTTGTTGACAGGTAGAAAATCATCTTTCAACATGGCAATCCTAAACCAATGCTGGCTTGGTGAGTATTGATCCCTGTCTACTATTTGACACATCAATACAGATCAATAACAGATTAGTCTGTGCCCCTATATGAAAGTGTACATTATGTTCCCTAGTCCAAGAATGAATGGCAATTATTGTTCTCAATCAATCTCCATTTCATTGCATTAGGTACCTGTCGTGGTACATAAATCATGTTTGTTTGTTTGTTTATTGCCCCACTCTGCATTTCGATCCAAATGAGCACTTAATTCAAGTGAATATGAAACAGGAGAATAATCAGTCTTGATTGTCTGCTGAAACAGATTCCATTGGGTGAAAGAGAGTGAGTGAGTGAGTGAGTGAGTGAGTATGGTTTTACGCCGCTTTTAGCAATATTCCAGCAATATCACGGCGGGGGACACCAGAAATGGGCTTCACACATTGTACCCATGTCAGGAATCGAACCCAGGTCTTTGGCGTGACGAGCAAACGCTTTAACCATAGGGCTACCCAACCGCCCCGGGTGAAAGAGACATAATGGTGGTGCCAACTATGTGAAAGGATCACGGAAACATCCTGCTATGCTAAGTAAGAGATGCTGGTCAAACTTGGTGACTTGGGTGATTGTGTGTCATCGTACCTTGACAGTGTGGAACGTTGCTCATAATATTGATCCCGTGTTTGGCCTGAACCTGATAAGGTACATGCCCCTGTCAAACAGCTGAACAATATTGTTGAGTCTCACAACAAACAAACACTGAAAACACTAACCTGTAGCAAGAGGGAACTTAATGCATCCGGTGGTCAGGCCCAGTGACCTGGATAGATTGGTGTCATCATACCCTGACCGTGTGGAATGTAGTTCATAATATCAATCGTGGATTGGTCTGGTTCAAACTTGATTTAAAGGCCAGCGTCATTTACTGAAATATTGCTGATTGCGGCGTTAAACAACACACATACAACAGGAAGAACAATTGGAATAATGATTTAGAAAGACATTTATTCCAACAACACACCTGAGGTACATCCTTGAATAAATAGAAACATTCACATGAATAAACAAGAAAGATGCACTATTCCCTGGTGACTACAGAAATTCTATAGATTAGTCTTGGCGTTAAGCAAGTTTTGGTTGAGAATGGTAAACAACTGCCACCGACAAGCAACGTCTTAGAGTCAGGCAATAATCCTGATACTAGTTGGAGGGCTCTGACAGGTAATGCGGAACTGGGTTTAGATAGATCACCAATTACTGCTGATATTCCTTTGATATACAGCAGAAGAATGAACTAATGAGACATTTAACTGTTATGGATGACAACTATCACATGTCTCGATGAGCTGTCTTAGCTATTATCTTGCCTGGTCTGGTTCACCTGCACTCATGTCTCACACATTAAGAAGCCATTTTTGCAGAAACAAATGGGTGATGGCGAGAGAGACGTGCTCTCTACATGGCATAGCTATAACTGCCTACTGTTGAAACTGGGTGGTGTGGAGAGAGACATTGCACAGCAATAATACCTACCACTGAAATCGGGAACTGGACTAAGGGTCATTCAGGTACTCAAGTACAATTATTTCAACACATCAGAGCCCTTGAAAGTTTGTTTAAAGAAAATTGATGATACTCCTCATCAAACACAATAAATGTAAACGTGGCTATGACATGAAACTACATTCAGAGTAACATAAAGGGCGGGTAAGTCCAGAATATACAAAAAACTGAAACAACCACTAAATAGTTTTCAATTTCTGCTATTCGAAACAACTTGATCTAGCCTCAAATTTGCCTGAATTCAAATTTACATCCAGTGTAAAAAACGGAAAGGGGGGTGTCCTGGGGCTCTTCTCCTAAAGTGTTTGAATCTAGGGTCCCCCGTCATCTCTTAACTTCAACATAAGGGTCATGACAAGGACCTCATGACATTCATGCTAAATTTGGAGCACTGCATCCATGTAATAATATTTTCCCCCTACTTTTGTTTTCTTGGCATCCAACCTGGTCGTCTTCTGTGAAACATTTAAACACATACACCATGGGGCAACCGAACACCCCCCATACATACACACAACAAATATCAGGAATGACAAACATGAATCTCTGTGATGTGCGGTTGGAGTTGCAGCAATCTCATTAAAATCAAATGTTTCACACCAATATGACACCTCTCCACGTGAAGATGTGACAACACTTCTAGAGAAGGTCACATCAGGATAAACCAGAGCTAACTTCCAACTGCCATATAAATGAAGGATGGCGCTCAAGAAAAGACAGGATGCATAAAATGGTCCGATTAGAAAGTTCACCGGACGCCCTGCTGTGGACGTGTCATCCAATATTCATTCAGAGAGGTATGGAATGCTGTTGATTGTAATGAGATTGGAAGTTGCAGCAAAGGAAACAACCTTCATAGGGAACATTAAATGATGGAATTCAAACACGACAGGAGATATTTCTTAACTGAATGTATGTATCAGGAGAAGGTATTTTAGATGCACACTGAAACTTCACATCATTCATCCTTTGACCTAAACATATTCATACTGGTATATTATGCTGGCACTCTTGTGTGCTTTACTATATAAATATACCATCATTCACACACATCCAGCATCACTCTCTCATTACATCACTTGATGTAGAAAGTTAGATGACAAATATTCCCCTCTTCTTTCAACAATGCACAAACCTGAACCTAATACATGCTAAACACAATTTGACCTTCCCAGGCTACATACACTACTCAAAAGAAGTTAAAGAACACCCTATTTTTTTCAAGTGACTACAGTTTTTCTGTCACCGCTGGTGGGTATTGCAACACAGCCTTCCAATTGTGGCTGCTCCTTAACATGTTTTGAGTAGTATACTCAAAAGCCATCGTCAGCATCAGTTAAATGAGCCAGTCTTTTTCCTGGGATATAAGTATTCCTTCATTGACTTTTTACCAAACTTATTCTTCCCTGTCAAATGTATCTGATGTCCTCCTCGTGCCGTGCTCTCATCGCCCTCCACCTCCCTGGTTTGGGTCCGAGGATGAAGCCACCATCACAAGAATCACAAATGGAACAATGTACATCCACTGAAAATGAGAAAATCAAAAACTGAATTCACTTGAAATAAAATATTACAATGTGACCCTTATGCATAAGCGGGGATAAAAAAGTCTCCACCATACAATGCTTTCAGAAGTGCGAACTATTGTGGTGTAAGAGGCAGTAATTCTTAGTGTAGTGAACTGTGAATGAGTACCATTTTCTGATTCAATATACTATCAAAAGTACTGTTCAAATCTGATAAAGATCAAAACTACTGAAAATTTTCATTTTCTCAATTTCTGATCTTAAGGTACCATAAAAGCAATAGCTCATGTTACGAATGTGTTAAACCTGTTTGGAGATCAAAACTCACGAAGCCTTTAAATAATATAATGATCAAGAATACTACACAGCTGATGACCAACACTCCATACCATGATAGCTCAATGACCAAACCACTCCACCGTGTCCAATAGCTCCCTCCCCGATGCCTTGGACAGACAATCTGATTTGTCCCCCTAATTAGTGGGTTTTGCTATCACCTTTTACGACAAGCATAGTCGGCTTTTACGGCAAGTATGGGTTTGCTGAAGACCTATTCTACCCCGGAATCTTCACGGGTCTGTGACCATGAAGAGAATCAAACCCAGGTCTTCGGCATGGCGAGCTAATGTTTAAACCACGAGCCTACCCGACCATCCCTGATTATTTTAGAACCAAGATATCCAACTGACTACACCACACTCAAAGCTCATGGCATTACTACCCTTGTCAACAGATCAGTGGAAATTCAATTTTTTAATTGACATTTCAAAGTAATTCAGTTTCAATTAAATGACAATAAAACTGTCTGGTGTTTCACTTCAAAGGAGATGCTGAAAATATTGAATCAGTAGACCTTTCATCCCTCGGATAACAAGGTGAACACGAGAACCTGGTCAACACACTAACACCCTGCTGTGTAGCAATGGTCTGGGCTGACCCACAGATGCATGAGCAACAAGCACTTCAAGCAGGAAGTACAGCCAGGAATCTCATTATTCCTCACAAACTTGTTGATGGCATTAAATGGTACGTGACAGATGAGAGACTTTCATGATCACTCCGAGGCTGCATATATCCAGGTCAAGGTGTTTGTGTTCGAAAAAAGCACCTGCCGGTAAAACAATGGCAGATGTACTTCCAAATCCGTGTGGATCCTTATGGCCTGCTGTAAATAACTGTCCAATTGATTTGCCACAATAAGCTACAGTGTTTTAGATGAGGGCCTGAAGAGTTTGGCCTGGGCTTGTGGCTTCTAAGTCTGTGGGTCTTGGCAGCCTGGCAATATTTTATATTTCAAACACTCTAGACTAACACTTAGTCTCTGAAAATATATACTTTTGATAGAAACAAACACTCCATTTAAATTGAAAAGGAATCCCAGTGAGATGGGATATGTAGCCTGTGGAAAATCTAGACTTGCTCCATTTATTGCAAAAGCATTACAGCAAGGGCTGGGCAGAAGGAATAATAGGGTTCAGGAACTGTGAGACAGGCTAATTGGATCTCTAAATATGATCTTGACAGTTATCTGATGTGTAGATTGTGTAACAAGGTCTGATTAGTATTGATGACCTCAAGAAACTTAGATAATAAGATAGGGGAGGTCATGTAACATTAATTTGGGAGATAAAAGTCACTGGTTAGCCAAATTTCTAACATCTGATATGTTCCTGAGAGGTAATGAATTACATCCATCTGTTAGAGCTAACAAATTAACTGTATTTGCACAAATTCTGAAAAACTTTCGTACTTTAAACTTTTCAACTATCACTTTCAGCGTAAGATCTTCTACTCTAAATTACAGTATGCCAGTGAGCATCAAAATCAACTAAAACACATTTGGATCCAATTTGAAGACATATTTGATTGAATAAAGAATGAAGAAAACACACACCAAATAATCCTATTTCATATTGGAATGTTTACAAATTCTTTTATATTTCCATCAGAAACAGAATCTTTTTACAGCTTCATTAACTCAGAGGAAATGAATCGCTGATCAATGCTATGAATACGGAAATCAATGTGAAACAAAATCCTTCTGAAAACCCAAATTCTCTTTCTTTTAAGAATGTCCCCTTTTCTTAAGTGTAAACAACCCTTGCTATAACTCCTCTCTGTGAACTGTGAATTTCACCCTTGCTATAACCCCTCTCTGTGAACTGTGATGCACAACCCTTGCTATAACCCCTCTCTGTGAACTGTGATGCACAACCCTTGCTATAACCCCTCTCTGTGAACTGTGATGCACAACCCTTGCTATAACCCCTCTCTGTGAACTGCTGCACACAACCCTTGCTATAACCCCTCTCTGTGAACTGTGAATTTCACCCTTGCTATAACCCCTCTCTGTGAACTGTGATGCACAACCCTTGCTATAACTCCTCTCTGTGAACTGTGAATTTCACCCTTGCTATAACCCCTCTCTGTGAACTGTGATGCACAACCCTTGCTATAACCCCTCTCTGTGAACTGTGATGCACAACCCTTGCTATAACCCCTCTCTGTGAACTGTGATGCACAACCCTTGCTATAACCCCTCTCTGTGAACTGTGATGCACAACCCTTGCTATAACCCCTCTCTGTGAACTGCTACACACAACCCTTGCTATAACCCCTCTCTGTGAACTGCTACACATAACCCTTGCTATAACCCCTCTCTGTGAACTGTGATGCACAACCCTTGCTATAACCTCTCTCTGTGAACTGCTACACATAACCCTTGGTATAACCCCTCTCTGTGAACTGTGATGCACAACCCTTGCTATAACCCCTCTCTGTGAACTGTGATGCACAACCCTTGCTATAACCCCTCTCTGTGAACTGCTACACACAACCCTTGCTATAACCCCTCTCTGTGAACTGCTGCACACAACCCTTGCTATAACCCCTCTCTGTGAACTGTGATGCACAACCCTTGCTATAACCTCTCTCTGTGAACTGTGATGCACAACCCTTGCTATAACCCCTCTCTGTGAACTGCTGCACACAACCCTTGCTATAACCCCTCTCTGTGAACTGCTGCACACAACCCTTGCTATAACCCCTCTCTGTGAACTGCTGCACACAACCCTTGCTATAACCCCTTTCTGTGAACTGTGATGCACAACCCTTGCTATAACCTCGCTCTGTGAACTGCTGCACACAACCCTTGCTATAACTCCTCTCTGTGAACTGTGATGCACAACCCTTGCTATAACTCCTCTCTGTGAACTGCTGCACACAACCCTTGCTGTAACACCTCTCTGTGAACTGTGATGCACAACCCTTTCTATAACCCCCCTCTGTGAACTGCTACACACAACCCTTGCTATAACTCCTCTCTGTGAACTGCTGCACACAACCCTTGCTATAACCCCTCTCTGTGAACTGTGATGCACAACCCTTGCTATAACCCCTCTCTGTGAACTGCTATACACAACCCTTGCTATAACCTGTCTCTGTGAACTGTGATGCACAACCCTTGCTATAACCCCTCTCTGTGAACTGTGATGCACAACCCTTGCTATAACCCCTCTCTGTGAACTGTGATGCACAACCCTTGCTATAACCCCTCTCTGTGAACTGCTACACACAACCCTTGCTATAACCCCTCTCTGTGAACTGTGATGCACAACCCTTGCTATAACCCCTCTCTGTGAACTGTGATGCACAACCCTTGCTATAACCCCTCTCTGTGAACTGCTGCACACAATCCTTGCTATAACCCCTCTCTGTGAACTGTGATGCACAACCCTTGCTATAACCCCTCTCTGTGAACTGCTATACACAACCCTTGCTATAACCTCTCTCTGTGAACTGTGATGCACAACCCTTGCTATAACCCCTCTCTGTGAACTGCTACACACAACCCTTGCTATAACCCCTCTCTGTGAACTGCTATACACAACCCTTGCTTTAACCCCTCTCTGTGAACTGTGATGCACAACCCTTGCTATAACCCCTCTCTGTGAACTGCTACACACAACCCTTGCTATAACCCCTCTCTGTGAACTGCTGCACACAACCCTTGCTATAACCCCTCTCTGTGAACTGCTGCACACAACCCTTGCTATAACCCCTCTCTGTGAACTGCTGCACACAACCCTTGCTATAACCCCTCTCTGTGAACTGTGATGCACAACCCTTGCTATAACCCCTCTCTGTGAACTGTGATGCACAACCCTTGCTATAACCTCTCTCTGTGAACTGTGATGCATAACCCTTGCTATAACCCCTCTCTGTGAACTGTGATGCATAACCCTTGCTATAACCTCTCTCTGTGAACCTTGATGCATAACCCTTGCTATAACCCCTCTCTGTGAACTGCTACACACAACCCTCGCTTTTTCCCCCTCTCTGTGAACTGCTGCACACAACCCTTGCTATAACCCCTCTCTGTGAACTGTGAGTTTCTTCAGTCTAACACTGAAACCTCCACATATAGAACAGACCAAAGGATACTGAGCATGAACGATGACATGATATCAGTAAAGCTGTACCACATGTCAACAGACTGCGACTCCATTGTCATGCCTTGGACACCCAAATTTAGTACATGGAGCCTTCTGGACTCGAACAAAGATAGGTCCAGGTAAATATCTAAGGAACATCTTTTTGATGATCTGTACAAGTTTTGTGTATGGTTAGTCTCAATGGAAATCCTAAACTGAAAGAAATTTAATGTAAAACTACATGTACATCAAATAGAACCTAGTTGCAATTCAATAATGAAAGATATAAATATATATAGTGACATTGCACTGTAGCTCACCTGAACATGTGGTCAACAATTTAACATGTCAACAAAGACAGACACTTCTTTCATTCACATGTACAGTTAATCTGGCATGTGACTATGCCCAAAGTCATTAACCTGTCTAACTTACTGGTGATGTTTTTTTAGAAATTCATAACATACATTATTTAATGACATACGCAGACTGCGGTTCAAAATATCGCACTGATTCCGCCGAAGTGGCAATGATGGGCGTCTCTTACGTTGTTAGATACCTCCAATCACTATTTCAATTAATTATCTCAACACATTCATACTTATCTCTAAGTTCACTCAGATTTTCTTTAACACTTCGAAAAGAGCTAATCAATTTGAAAGGGTTACCTATTTACAAATCTATGACGATAATACTCGAAAGTCAACAGGATATATCAGTCTGTACAACACTAGGGTGGACAGGTCAAGCGGCCAATCAGAATCATGCAATGTAAATCTTCAGGCGACCTCAAGGGCACTGTGAGATCACTAGATCTTTGTGAATAATTTTGACAGACACTACTTCATTTAGCAAATTAAGCGACTCTGACCTTTCAGAACTGTTCCATTGAGGGCTTTGTGATCGGACAAAATTAACCAAGTAATTGTAATGTCCTGATAGTTTTGACATCTTAGTGGTGTAGTGGATAGAGCGTATGCTCAGAGAGTGGAAATAGATGGTTTGATCCTGAAGCTGTGCATTACAAAAGATGTGAAACAGATGATACCTTAGTCGCCATATTAAGTGCCCTGCTCCAATAAGCGTCCTTGAACAAGTTATCATCTTTATAAGCACCCGGTACTAAGTCTGAAAGCTTACTTAACGGTTCTTTTTTTCTGGCATGTGATTAATACACATTTCTTTTTACAGAATATCGCTGTGTAGAAGAGTTGCATATAATAAAGGCAGACATTGAGATTTTACTTCCTTTCCAAAGCGGAAATTTGCCGCAGACACATTAACAACAGATATAGCATGTCAATAAATCCTTTTTGAGGTATAACATTTCACAGTTTGTCATTGTATTTGTATTTATTTTGTTTATCATTGCCGCCGTTGTATTATTCAACATTTAATTCACTGTTGTGGTTTTCATCTCGATAAAATCATGTGGGATCCGATTGGCATATCCAACCAACTCCCTATTATGTACAGCAATACTGGCTAGATTAATGTCATTGGTACCAAGTTGAAACGATCCTTTGTTGTCACAGAATGAACACCTTAATTACCCTAATGTGACATAAACTTAGTCATGGATGCTGTCATTGGAAAGTTGTCAATCTTTTGTTCAGGGGGTGTCCCATTACGCGATGACGACTCATTGTTTTTTGTTTTTTTATATCGACCAACCTACCCTGTGATACCAAATACAAAAACCAGGAACATATTTCTGTTTTTGACACAAATCAACAAGAAGTCAGAGTTTTATCCATGGCAAAATAATGGTTGCAGATTTATTTCATCGAAGTAATAACTGAATCATCGGTAGTCAGACACAAGCAGAGGCAAGACATGTCAACATTATTGCCTTTTCCGAAATATTGATTACAGCGTTTTAGAATAATGCCATACTGTTTCACCAAATTGATGATGGTGTAAGATTCTACATCAAAACATCGCTAAATGAAAAACAGCAGAAGTCGTTGTCCATAAAGTTGTATGTTTTCATGTTTCAACAAAATCCACAATGATTTGAACTAAATATGAGAAGCATAAATGACCAAAGTCAGCTTTCTCAGACTGTGAATATCTGAGGTGTCTACAGAGCCAAAACTGCATTTTGAGTGAATTTAAGAGCATATTGAGCTGAAGAAGTGGCCATTATGTAGCTTTTCAATGCAGCTGTTATGGTGGCCACACTGAAAATCGGATCCAACCCCTTGAAAGAAATTATCATCATTGGTAGGTAGGAACAAGTATGTGAAGTTTCAGTTCATTGATCAAGTGGTTTCTGAGGAGATTTAGTGTATAGTACAAAGAAATGCTGTTTGAGGAAAACATATATGAAAAATAAAGGTCCAAACTTAACAAATTGCGAAAACTGTAACATATGCGATGAGGCCACACAAAGACCAAGTTTCATTATGGCTGAGAAATATGAAGTTTCAGCTTGGCTGTGTGCACAGGTTAAATCAAGGTCAAAATTTAAAATATTGCAAAAAATAAAACCCAAAATATATGTGTTGGATCCCAGAACTGGCGACACATATACCAAGTTTCATTACATCGAGAAAATGGCTGCTGTGTAATGGCCAAAACTAGATTTCCAACATGGCGGTTGCGCTGACCAGTCTGAAATTGGATTTGAACCTCTGGATCAATTTCAGGCATTATCATTGGTGGGGACAAGTTTCAGCTTCATTATTCCAGTGGTTTCTGAGTACAGGGTTGAAGAGGTACAGTGTAATTTTTTTCTGCGGATAATATTTGAACAAAAAGATTTCTCCAAAATACTGAATCCGCAAGAGAGGGGTGCACATAATACTTGGGTGTGCACTATATAAATATGGTAGAATTTTACAAATATTACCACTATGATACACAATCACTATGATTGCAAAATGTTTACTTCCCCAAAGTTTGTTTTCTCCCTCTTGATCTGTAACACTGTCATGCATGGTTTTCATAAGAAAAAACCCTTGTCAATTTTCTAAGTATTCAGGGCACTTATAACAGTGAATATGGTACTGGTTGTTAGCCAGCCTGACGCTTTGAATAACAGGGATAAAACAAGGAATGGTCGGCTCGGTGTCAGTATAGCGAGTCTGTGTGGGGTATCGATGTTGAACTGTGGTATGGTATCCATTTCACCTCACCTGGAGATTAGCTCACTTTATGACTTATAACTGATTATACATACTTCTCCACTTTTGCATGAAATATCTAGGCATCGCTATCAAAAGTTACATAGTATATATCTTCAGCATAGCTTTTAGAAGGTTGCACATAAGGAAATAAGAATCCTCTTTGTATTGGAATACTTTTTTGAAACTTTTTCCAAGTTAACTATGGTACACATATATCACAGACTTCTAACCTCACCCATGTTTTCAAGGTAAAAAATTGAGCTTTCTGGACATGCAAATGAAACTACCTGTCATTTATAATCGGGCAGATTAAAGGCTGGTACATATCTACCTATAAAACATGATTTCCAGTTGCATCTGCTTGTTATCCTAAAAAAACATAAAACTCATTCGCACAAATTGTACATGACAGCATCCACACGAAGAACTACAAGAACATATGTGAAATATCATCATAACGCCTCAAGGAATATGGGTGTCTCTGATAATAAATCAAAATTAAAACATGTTAGAGGGCGCTGTACAGGCGTTGACAGCTTCTAATCAGACCCACAGTGATAAAGCCACAAGATTTATGGCAACATGCAACAATCTGCATGGATATGTGAGATGTCTGAAGTCACAGATAAGGAGTTTAAGGTCCTACTATGACTTCTAATTAAAGTCATCTGAGACACCTGAATCATCTCAAGGAGCTTATTTTTGGGTGATATTATTTTTGCAGCTAATTCCAAGTTGTTAGCATATCAAAAGCTGCTTTTGATGACAGCCACCTGTTGTCATGTGTCTGTCTGTAAGACGTTCAAAGCTTTTCAGTGAATCAGTTGAATAAAGGATGAAAAAACCTCACATATATGATAATTAAAAGAATGAGAACACAGCCATAGAGTAGATCCACCTACCCTCAAAAGCTTGAAAGAAACAAGACTTGTTTTTCTGCTTTTACGTGAATAGGAATCATGTTATTTGACATTGCAGACAGCAGTTCCTTCAACAATACAGCCAGCTGTGAGTGAGTTGGTGGGTGGGCTTTTGAGTGAGTGAGTGAGTGAGTGAGTGAGAGAGTGAGTGAGTGAGAGAGTGAGTGAGTGAGAGAGGTTTTCACCACTTTTAGCAATATTCCAGCAATATCACGGCAGGGCTACAAGAAACGAGCTTCACACATAGCGAGTGACTCTTGTTTTACGCCGCGTCAAGCATTATTCCAGCAATATCACAGCAGGGCTACAAGAAACGAGCTTCACACATAACGAGTGACTCTTGTTTTACGCCGCTTCAAGCATTATTCCAGCAATATCACAGCAGGGCTACAAGAAACGAGCTTCACACATAACCAGTGACTCTTGTTTTACGCCGCGTTAAGCATTATTCGAGCAATATCACAGCAGGGCTACAAGAAACGAGCTTCACACATAGTGAGTGACTCTTGTTTTACGCCGCGTCAAGCATTATTCCAGCAATATCACAGCAGGGCTACAAGAAACGAGCTTCACACATAGCGAGTGACTCTTATTTTACGCCGCTTCTAGCAATATCACGTCAGGGGACACCAGAAATGCCCTTCATACATTGTACCCATGTCTGGAATCAAACCCGGGACTTCAGCTGGATTAGCTAACGCTTTCACCACTAGGCTTACCCACCTCCCCTTTGCATATTTACAACCATATTCATCCAAATGATCATTTTGGAAAACTGACAAAATCAGGTGGGTTCAATCGCACTAGTTTTGAGGGCAACATTATTAGGGTCATGAAAAGTATTTGTTTTGAAAAATAAAATACTTTTGCTCGGCATGCTGGTACTTGGACATTTAGAATATTTTAATGATTGTATCAGTTATTTCTAGAACATTCTTCTATACCATTACCAATTTTGAAAATAATCTTTAGGAGAAACTGAATACCAATCAGACATTTACCTTGCAAAGAACCACCAGGTACCTACTTTGAACATTGTGTAATACTGGAAGAATTGCCAGTTTGAATTTTTTAAATTTTTCTATGACTAAATTTACTCCTTTCTAGATACTTAATTTCTCTGACAGGCATTAGGTGCTTTTGAGTACAGTGGTCATCATGAAACTTCCATATCTGGATTCAGCACCACAATAATCAGACAAGCGGTAATGAGAGGTTGTCAAATATCTCCAACGGTGAACATGAAGAATCAATCGGATGCTGGGAGTGTCGAATAGATAGATAGCTGTGCCCAGCCAGGGAAGCGCAAGCAATCGGATCATGGCTCGTTGTATAAAAGCTTAATGCGCAATATCGGCATCTTATAACTTGTGATGTTAGTCTACCCACCTGGTGGGATGAACTGGAACTATTTGTGTGACTTGCATTTGTGAGCAGATGAAACTGCAGGACATATTGCTGAAATGGATTGAAACCGACGACTTATACAACACAACACATGTGCCTGATGAAGACTTTGTCTTGAAAGCAGTTAGACATATACGAGATACTGGTAAAGTAGCTCATGGCACCACAGATGGCAAATGGGACATAACAACATTAAGGTAAATATATCATATATAAACCTTATGTCATAATTATCAGAAAAGTTTACAGAATAAATTAAACATTTTCAAGAAAAACGTCAAATTTCTCATTCTTTTCAACATTTGAGCATGTATGTTAAGAAAGAAGATATTTGTAAAATTGAAGAGAGTTTTCAGTTGTCACTTTTACTATACTATCAAAGTCAAAAAGATGTGTTGACTTTTTCCAGATTGACTGAAATTTACACTTTTAATACCAGACATTGACAAAATTCACTCAAAAACCCTTCCGTTAAAATGCTGTTTGTCTTTATGAACTTGTTCCTTATTATAGAGTGCCAATGTAGTTATGTTTTCGGGAAAATCACATAAAATATTTTGACTACCAACCCAATGGTGTTTGAAAAAAATTCCTGAAGCAAAAACAAAGGAAGCCTTCAAATTACTTCCCTGACAGCAGAGGCATAGGGCAATATTCTGGATTCATTCCAGTTCTAGCATGTTCACTTGGGTCACATTATTAAATGAGAAGAAACAAGAACATCACATATGAAATGACAGGAAAACAGTATAGAAACACAACCTGCTGTGCAACAATAATAGTAGTGTTTAGCATCTTGACATGAAACATTGTATTATTCAGATGATACACACTGCTCGTCTTGCACCTTGTATTACCATAATAATCTGTGCCCAAAACATGCTATGTCAACTGGAGAATTATTTGCATAATATCCTTATTTCAGTGTTATTGACTGTTATTCCTTGACTTACAAGACAGAATGACATTTAATGAGACCTAGGCTTTGGAATGAGAATATAGTATTAATACTTTTTTGTTATTTTGGGGGGGTTTCAATACCATGGCAGGACACCAAAAGAGGGCTTCACACATTGACTCTTAGCATTATATGCGTGTGAGAGAGAGAGAGAGAGAGAGAGAGAGAGAGAGAGAGAGAGAGAGAGAGGATGGGAGGGCAAGGCAGCCTTTGAACCCATGATCATAGCATAAGGGATGGAACTCAATTACACAAACATGTAGGGGGGAAAACCCGAAGTGATGCACGTCTTAAGACATTTTACCATTTTAATGAAACCCACAAAAATGGATATGGTTCTGACAAACAAGGAAACATAATCTGGGATTCGAACATGTCTGTGAATATTTTAACCATACCATTTCAATTCAAGATATTCTTGAGGACTTCTCTGATAACCTACAGTCCGCTTGCAAACCAGTTAATTTAAGCAATCTTTCAGAACATCCCTTATCAACCCACACCAGAAGCTGGGCCTATATTCCGGCTCAAGGGCCGCATTGATACAATCAAACTCATGAAACTTAATTGGTGTCCTCGTATCTAAATATGTCAAAAGTGAAACACATCTGTAGACAGAAACAAAGTGGTTGGGCGATAACACAGAGCTGTTTCTGAATCTGTAAATAATTCAAAAACTTCACATGATGAGTGACATTTTCTATTAGTTTGTAATCAGTGCTGGAAATTAGTGGGGCCTTGTCTCTACTCTTATGTTCAAATCAACAATTTGAGGATCCCTTAAATCAAAAACAGTAACATCAAACAACAAAGACCCTTCTTCATTTCAAACAGTGTTAATGTTAATCAAGTTTATTCACTTAACTCATACCATATACATATTAAAAACTCTAAATAGCTAAATATCAAAGAATCTTTAAAACAGAATTGACTCCAAAACCGTACTTCACTAAGCTCCCGAAACAACAGTGGTTAAAATAAACGGTTTCGCATTTCTAATCATCATCTCCCAGTAACATGGTTCATAGAGATGTGAGACACTGAAATATAAGGCCTTTTCAAGAGTTTATTCATTTGGGTTCTTAGCCTTCGCCTGTTGATATACTTTTTAAATCCAGCATACCATATATTAGACCAAAGATGCAGTACGAACATCACAAATTTTCCAACAAGATTTATTTTCACAACCAACAAATAAAATAGATTAAGCCATAAAGTTTCATACTATCAAAAACAAGTATATGTCATTTTGTACAAATACAAGGCTTTTCAAGCTACTTTGGTGATTTTCAAGGTTGACACTAAAATTCAAGGCTTTTCAAGCCTGCATGAACGATGAATAGAAGCTGGGTGATGGATAACAATACTCCGTTAACAGAAAGAAAATGTAATCTTTGGCAGTCTTTCTGTATTGGTGAGGAATTTCATGTATTATTCTCATGTAAATACTAAATAGTGGTAAGAAGTAACTATATAGACATATAAATATTTTAGTAAACCAAATATTATTTAATTTCTGAAATTATTTCAGAGATATATTTCATCATATATACGAAAACTCTCTAAATTGTGCCAAAAAGTCACGGAACATTTAAGTTCTCCATAAACGCTGTCTGGAACTATTCAAATATTATTGTCATTTATATTATGATTGCGAATACATCTATTTATAATTGTGTGTTTATTTTGAAAGTCATCTTAAGCTGTGTGATATGTCCTGATTGCAAATAAAAGTTCTGTTAACTGTCTGTCTGTCTGTCTGATGCTTGTTGTTGCTAAGTTGCAGATGAGGGAGAGGGAGAAGGAGTGAGTCAGTGGTTGAATGATTGGTTGAGTGCTGCTGCTGCTGCTGCTGCTGCTTTTAGCAATATTCCAGTCATACTAAGACAAGGGACATCAAAAATAGGCTGCACACATTGACCTCGAATAATCGAAACAGATTTACAAGAAAACACTTGCACTTCCAGGCTGCCCATGAAGACTTCATGACACACTGTCGTCCAGGTCATGGTTGACACATACTCTTCCTGGAGATCTCCCCCTCATGTACAATTTGCTCACCAACCACTACCCACATTCATTTCCACATACAACCAGGTGTCTGGCCTACTGTCAGACTTTCCACAAGAGACAATACACAAGCCAATTCTACCAAACTACATTCTTCAAATTCCACACCCATCCAGATCATCTTTTATTATTCCTTCATGCCAAGAAATATACAATTCCTCCTCTTTTCAAGACTATGAAATAAATCCAAACCTCCTACCTCTTTAAACATGTGCTTAATATTATCAAAATAATTATTCCAGAGGAAACGTTTCATAATTTCTGACTGAAGGCTAAAGTAGGAGGCCAGCTGAGCACCTGTTATGGCAGCGATAAACGGGAGATCTAACGGAACAGTCTCACTTTATCAAGGCCACGTGGCCACTAACAATAAACACAGTTTTTCACTACAAACAACAACAGTTTCAAGCACTCATACTTCAGTCAGTGACAGAATCCAGACAGCATTGGTTGAATTCTTTCTTCCTTGAAACAAATACAATCAGCATTTATTTTGAAATTTGACAGTGCAAGTATTCCATAGGAGTTATCTGTGGAACTTAGTGGTGGCAAGTCACATTCTGATCATTCTGATAGAGCAGGGATAAGTGATGTAAAACTGGGAGGTACTATTTCATAAGAAATAGTTATTGCTTGCTTTTTTAAGGCTTTTGTTAAGGCCAGCAAAGCTTCCTTGCTTTTGTCTGTACATTTCCTTATGAAAATGAATTGAGCCTGTCTGTGTTGATGGTGACAGCACATGTGATGATGTTGATGTTGATGGTGACAGCACATGTGATGATGTTGATGTTGATGGTGACAGCACATATGATGATGTTGATGTTGATGGTGACAGTACATATGATGTTGATGTTGATGTTGACAGTACATATGATGATGTTGATGTTGATGTTGATGGTGACAGTACATATGATGTTGATGGTGATGGTGACAGTACATATGATGTTGATGTTGATGGTGACAGTACATATGATGATGTTGATGTTGATGTTGATGTGACAGTACATATGATGATGTTGATGTTGATGGTGACAAGGCTAAAAAAATAACAGTGTTGGTTCTCAGGCACCACCTGCATCATCATAAAGTCTGTTGCATGTTTTATTTGTATTTCCATTTTCCAAAAAATATAAAAAACATAATACCTAAACACCGTGCACAAGAAAATTGAAAATGGAAACAAAAACGAAACCTGCGATGAACTTTATGATGATGTGGGCAGTGCCCGAGATTCAAGACTTATTTTTTTTAGCCCAATAAAGATGTTGATGTCAGTTTAGACGATGTTGATGATGATGAGAGTAAAGATGATAATAATATTGAAGGTGACAGTTCAGATGCTCTAGAAACTAATTTTCCAGTGAAGTAATCAAAACTTACAAATTTTGGCACAATGAATTATGGGTTAGTGTAGGGTCGGGACGGTCACTCAGTTGTTCGGGTCGGGTTGGTCCTGTGGGGTGGCTAGTCACAAGATATAATGTTTAATGACGATAACAGTCAAACAGTCAACTCGTGGTTAAACAACACGCATTCCTTTCGACTTTTAAATGTTTGAGTAAAGATAAAGCCTCTGTCAACTTCAGTGTATGCATGACAAGATGGTTTCATGGGTGTATCCAAGTATCTTTTGCCAGGGATCCGGTAAAACAATTCTCAATCAGACATTTTGTACCCAACTTGAGACCTACAGCAGGTACCCAGGTAGGGTAAGGTAATAGGGGGTCGGGTACCCTGGTAATAAATTTGGATTCTTCCCAGCCCTAGTATGTGGTAATGACAATCTTGGTGTTCCCAGCAGGATTTCCAAACCAACATTTTCTGAACTAACCAGGTTTCACTGCAATATCATATAGAGTTTCATACATGTAATCTTTCCAATGCAGAAAAACTCTTCACACACATTGGAGAATATTCCCAAACTATCTAACTTGTGTGAGTGTGTATGGTTTAATGCAGCTTTTAGCAATATTCCAGCATTATCACGGCAGGGGACTCCAGAAATGGGCTTCACAACATTGTA